CTACAGGATTGGGAGGTGCCTAGAATGATTGAGTTTTATAGAACACTAGAACAATGTAGTGGACTACAGGAGGGTGAAGATACACTCAGATGGCAAAAACATAGTAATGGGATGTATTCAGTCAGCTCAGCATACAAAGATTTGAACCGGGAAGGATCTCAACTCAGTCTATGGCCTTGGAAACACATATGGAAAGTAAAAGTGCCTTATAAAGTGGCATGTTTCACCTGGTTGGTAATTAGGGAGGCTGTCCTCACTCAGGATAATCTAAGGAAGAGGGGTATACCAATTGTTTCAAGATGTTATTTGTGTGGGAATGATGCTGAGACAATCAACCATCTGTTTCTTCATTGTAGAGTGACCAGCCAATTATGGGATCTGTTCATTAATCTCAGAGGTGCTAGATAGGTAATGCCAGGGAGAACCTCTGAGCTTTTATTATGCTGGAACACAGAAATAGAGTTTATCACAGACAAAAACAGATGGAAAATTGTCCCAGCAACTATTTGGTGGACAATTTGGAAAGAAAGGAACCTGAGATGCTTTGAAGATACAACCAATTCTCTACAAAAGATTAAGATGAAATGTATTCTTCTTTTTTGTTTTTGGTGTAAATCAGAATATGTAGAGGATCCTGATTCAATCCTAGATGTTTTGAGTTCCTTGTAAGAAGAACAAGGACTATATTTTTGCTTTTCCATATTGTAATTGCCTATTTTGGCTTCCAGCACAAAATTTGTGCTGATGTTTTTTATTAATAGACTGGATACTTTACCTTCTCAAAAAAAAAAAAAAGAATCCTTGATCAAAAGATTGCTGTTTTTGTAGGTTATAGAATTTGAAATGCTTAAATAGTAAAATTACCAAGAGAACATTATTTGATTCTTAAGTGGAGTAGAATTTAGAAAACAAGTTGTTTCCAGTTTTAATTTTAAAGCAAAACGATGACAAATTTTACTTCTAAATTTAGCATTTCACTCTTTCTAGGAGATTAGTCAAGTTTTTACTATGGGTTTGCTAGTTACTTTATTATGTTTCACTATCACAAAAAAGGTCTACAAAGTAAAGCCATGCATGAGTCATTTTAAAGAATCTATAATCTTTCAGAGTTGATATCTATCACGTTTAGTTGTTTTATGAAGCTGATTGGATGTTTGTAGCGCTCTCAGTGGACTTTGCTGATTTCCTGCTTATTCATTATGCCACTTTGATCACATTGATGAGTTGAATTTGTCCTTTCTTGGATTTTGCTGCTTCCTGTTGACATATGCAGAGAGAAACTGGATGCTTTCTTGCTTCACTCAATGGAAAATGGCTTGATAAGTGATGGAGTTGTTGCACAAGATATAACTCAGGCATCTTCTTGCTGGCATATTCGTGAGGTTATTACTTTATACTTGACAAGTGAATCTGTATTCATAAGCTTGTATCGGTAACTTGTGATAATCTACCTATTAGTTTTGGTAAGTAAATGTTTCATTGCCACTAAAGTGGAAACCTCCGTATTTAAGAGGTTCTACGGAATATTATGTGGAACCTTTAAGATCCCAATATTAATTTATAGGTTTTCCACAAATTTCATCCAGTCAAGTGGGAACATACTGTGATCTCTACAATAAATAAAAACAGTTCCATCTTTAATTTGGGTGAAGGATTTTTGTGTCCCTTCAGAAGCTGTTCAGTTCTTTGCCTCCATATGGTCCACATCAACATGAAAGGGGTTAACTTCACTAATGAATTAACTGATTAAAACTTTACCCTATTAATTACTATTATGTATTAGAACCATGGATTTGACACGTTTCCTCAAGCTTAAAAAGGCCACCCACCATTCAAACATCCAGCTGCCAGATAGCAAATGTGGATTTTCATTTTAAAGTTGCATGAATCCAATAGATGAAAATTTGGACATTCGAAAAATTTCGAATTTCTTATGCTATCATATGTGTGAAGATGCTTCTCATAGAATGGAGACAAAAGTACAGGAGATTTTGACTTCTCGGGAAGGTGGATAGGCAGCAGCATAGAGAGAGAGTGGATAGTTGTGTTTATTACATTGTGGTGCTAATGACAGCATCTTTTTGTCACATAAAACACTGAAACCAGTTCTAATTGGTTCTCAAAAGGCTGTGAGGGAGGGAGAGGTGAATACTGATCAGCTAATGACAGTGATTGGTGCAGCCTCTATCGTTTTATCTGGGGTAGATAGGGAGAGTTGGTGAGAGGGAGACTGGTGAATAAGGTGATTCAAAAATAATGCTCTCAGACGAAACCTTTGGGTATGTTGTCCAACAGTCTCCATCATGTGAAGTTACTTAAGCAAATGATTCCTTTATATCAGTGCTAAATTCAAATTAACAGCTAACTGCACGGAACAATGTTTATGTGTGTATTCAGTATTGCAATTAGCAATACAGAAAGATAAAGACTGCGAAATGAAACTCACACTGACGACACATAACCAAGAACATTGTCGATAGCCGATTGCTGTAAGAAAAGTGAAAAACTTTCATGTGGTAAGCATCTGCTCATGTTTTGATAAATGAAAGGTGACATTCTTTATGTTGCAGGGCATTCCTGAAGCTTTGATGAAGGCAGGAGGTGTATATAAATATGATTTGTCAATACCGGTTGAAAAATTGTATGATCTTGTTGAGGAAATGCGAGTCCGACTTGGTAAGGTTGTCAAAATTCTTGCTTTGCTGAAAGCATGTTCCATTTTCATTCTTATTCATGTGTCTGGATTATTTATGGGATCTATTCTTCATAGTACTTCCTTTATTAAGACTCAGTATTCCTGCAGAAAAAGTAAATGCACATAGTTTATTTTAAATGTCTTGTTCAGAGATGCAATATCATATTAGATGGCTTCATTTTTATCCATCTCTCCTTTTTATGTTGAATCAACAATTTTAGGGGCATGCCTCTGTTAACAGTAACTATCAATCTCAAAGAATTTGATGCTGTCTTAATTGTAAATTTACAGATGCTTCAGCAAAAGTAATTGCTTATGGTCACCTTGGGGATGGCAACTTACATCTTAATATTTCAACTCCTCAGTATGATGATAATGTACTATCCTTGGGCCTGCCTGCTTCTCACTTAATTTTATTAGTTGATTATCACATTAACTGGAAATGTTGGCTCCAGATTTTATCACAGATCGAGCCTTTCGTTTATGAATGGACTTCTAAGCACAAAGGGAGTATTAGTGCCGAACATGGCCTTGGACTGATGAAAGCCAATAAAATCCATTACAGCAAGTCACCTGAAACTGTAAGACCGGTACTTTTGTTTATGATTTAAATAGACATGACATCAGTTTTACTGAGTTCTCTTTCAGGAGATAGTGTTTGGAAGCACCAAATTGTCGGCACATGCTGCACATCTCAATATACAAGTTTCTCTTTTCTTTCAGAGAACTAAAGAAGTATCAAATGAACTAGTTAGGGATTAATGAAACTAACATGTAGATAGATATTAATTTTGCATGATGACCCAGAGAATTTACTCCAAAATGCAGAAAATCCTCAGTATTTTCCTACTGGACATTCTGGAATAATGTGATTTAAGTTCAAGAGACAGGAAGAATAGCAGTTCTTTTCATAGGTTAAGACTGTATAGGGATAAACGATCATCTATGATGGTGTACTGTTATTTCGTACAAACATCGAGCCCTGTTCTTCCTCTAAAGCATCATGTGTAGAGGAGATAACATGAGCTTGCTAAAGCATCTCTGCAGCTACATGCCCATCTTGCCAGTGTGGTTAATATACCGACATCTAGTAGACCTGCTCCTAAGCAATGTTTGACGGGTTCTTGACCAAAATAGTATGATAAAAAGATTGTGGAATGTGGATGTTGGTATAGGGTGTCAATATTTCTAATTTAGTCTGCATAGCTAACTTAAAATTGAGCTAAAAGTTGAATGAAAAGGTAAAAGATGCTACATGTACTGTTTCCTTTATTCTGTTCTTTGTCCTCCCCTCAAACGAATAGGTACATCCTTCTTCATAAATTACTGAGACAATGTATTTCTTTTCCCAGGTGCAACTAATGGCTTCTATTAAGAAGCTACTGGACCCTAACGGGATTCTGAACCCATATAAAGTTCTCCCACCTTCCCTTTTCTCAAAAGCTGAGGTAACTAGCTCAGGTTTCCATACTGATGTTAATAATCAGTGCCTGTATCAGTGAATAACACAGTAACTCAATATCTTATATTGCTTCAGATATATACAGAATGAACCTCACCTCAGCTTTTCTGTTGCTCGGAATGATGATTAGTTTGTTGTTTCTAAATGCTAGTGTTATACCATTCTGGCTGTGCAGGTGAGTTGAAGGAGTACACAACATTAGAGTGAGACAGAGAAAGGTTGTACAGGAAGTGTAATAGTTTGGGTCCAGCTATATTTGTATATTTTTATAGTGGTAGTAAGATATGGCTCTTTCGTGATAAACACACGATGTCCAGGCTTATGATATAATCCTTCTAAAGGGGCCATGACACATAGATTTATGGAATTAGACCATAACTTGGCAAATAATTGAAGAATTTCCATTGAAGCAAGCATATCAACTCATGGGATTGAGTAGATCTAAGGTAGTGTAGGTAAATGGGTTCCCTCGAACGATAAACAATGCCCTCTTTTTGTAAATAAAGTGAGAATGGAGTTCATAGGAAGACATCATAGCTATTACACGGGCCTCTAGTTTGAAAGAGCTACTATTAGCATTTCAAAGTTAAACAAAGAGACGAAGACTTTAGCATCTAATAAGATCAATTAAGGCGATTCCATTTCGAATATCATAGATAGAAACAGAGAAGCTAGGACATGATTACTGTTGTCGAAGTCTTTTTCCTTTGATGTCAATATTAGAAATTCGAGATTAAAAGTGCTCTACTTTTGCATACTTGAACAATAATTTCCTTGTAAGATGATATCTTAAGGATCAAATTTCTTTTAGTGAGATAATTAGGGGACTAGTCAGGCAAAAAAAACAAATTCAGGAATATTCGTCTATTAAACCCATTATTCTGATTACCACACACTGAAAATAACAAACCAAAATATTCCTCGAACAACTAAAGATGATCTACCAGGATAGCTACAAGCTATAATATCCTCAAGAACAAATGCAATAACAAAGCTAGAAGAATGTTGAAAGAAACTAGAAAACAGAAAATACATAATATTAATAATAGAGCCACATGTTATTAGTTTTCTCGTGCTGCCACGTAAGTTGTGCATTTTAGGAGTTGATCTTCCTGCAGCTCTTCCTAATTTCTCCCCTGGAACCCGTCAAAGGTGAAATATTTCCCATCTTAACCATAGACTTAGCGAATTGCTCAAAGAAAAGCTCATTGTTCTCTGCATACTGTTTCACTAAGTTTAATGATTCTTGATTCTTAGTAACAAGAACTTGGTCTGAGTTCAGTAGACCCTTTGAAGCCAACAAGTTTTTGAAGTAGCTGTTGTCAAATTTTGTTGGGGATACAAAGTCCAAGAAGAATAAGTTTTGGTCACCACCAGATCTTGGGCACTTAGTGCGCAACTGTGCGGCATATGACTCTTCCAACGTAAAGTCTGGTTTATTGTTTCCTGACTGATTGTAGAGTCTCTGCCTGAAGCTGGTGCATCTTGCATTTCCAATTGTGTGGCTCCCTGTAGTGGCATTAATTAAGTGACAACTTATTTAGCCTACAGTTTTACTTCTCTAGAATTCACTCTAAAAAAAAGCTATCAGATACATGTCATCGTTTTAATATTCCGGAAAATAAGACATCTTACCTAGCAGCTTAAGATACACTGGTGATGTAAGATCTCTTTACATATCATTGTAAATAAGTTAAACCCTATAATTTCATGTGTGATATGTAGTTTAGCAAAGGATTTAAAGTGCAATTTAACATGTAATAGCAGGTTGCCTGCTTTATTTTTTAGGTAAATATACTTTCACTTATTATAGGAAGTTACCTATTAACTAACTATAGGTGGTCTGATTGTGTAAAAATATTTTTTTTTACTGATAGTGTTTATAAGTTAAATTCTTTAGCTAGGAAAGAGAGAGAGAAACTTTTACCGGATAAAGCTACAAGGTCAACAATATTAAGCCCCTTTAACTTGAATTTAGTGAGAATGGTATTAAATGTGTTGTTTGGAGCAGGAATGTTATTGTTGGAGCCACTTAAACTAGCACCCCTGGAGTCTCTTCTTCCCAATGGGACCTCCCAATTTGGTCCACCAGCCTGTATACACAAATAAAAAATTATTATGTCAGTTTTATAATCTCTTAGAAATGATCTACTTTCATTCCTATATATGCGTGCGAGGTGTTTAACTTACTAAAACTGTTGAATCCCTTGCAGCTAATGCCAAGATATCTGCACAAGAAACTGTTTGAGGGCACTCCTTTTCTAATGCCTTCTTAATCTCATCAATGACTTCAAATCCACGAGCCGAATTCCTGTTGGGATTTGATCTTTTCTCACTAATTATGCTTCCACTGCTGTCAAGAAGTAGAGATGCATCACACCCCTACACGACATAATGAAAATAATAGTTAGTCCGAGTTACGTGGTGCGAAGGGGTTCAACTGAATTTACTTTGTCGATATAGGATTGAATCTCTATGACTTAAAGGAATCCTAGTCATGTAGCGGCAAAGGCTGACTAAATTTTTGCTTTAGGCCAAAAGTACGAATAACGTGTGACATTCTAACATTTGTTTCTGAATCCCCTTAGTAGATTTGTGACATTCTTTTTTTTTTTTCCTTTTCGAATCCCCTGATTAAAATTCCAGACTCTATCATTGCTCTAACAAATATAAATACTGCATAAAATAAGGCGCGAGCTTTACCTTGACTAAGCAGTCGTGAAAATGCAGCCTCAATAATGAAGCAGCCATTCGAGCTTCTTTGGCTACAGCCTTGGCAACAATAAACTTAATAATTTCTTTTGCTTGGGGACATGATTGGTCATAATATTGTGGGAATAAGTAGCCACCATAAGTCTTAATAGAGAAACAAATTGGTGCAAAAGCAAGGAGAACAATAACCATTAAGAAGCTCAAGGATTGAGCCATACTTAGAGAGTATTAATAAGGTAACTTAGTATATAAGAGATTAATTTGAGAATGTAAGTAGGCTATATGGCTTGCTATGATGAAATTGAAGGGAAGTAACGAGTAGTATATATAGTGTTTAATGAATGAAGTGTTGTTACAAAGGGGAGACGTATTGATGGAGTTGGTAGCTTATTAGTTATGATTAGTAGTTTTTTCCATGAGCTCACCTATATAGTGTAGCAGAGTCATGTGATTACAAGTACAATGATGATTGATTTGGTCCGTGATAGGGAAATGACATTTAGCTACGTTAAAATTTTCAAAGTTTAACTCATTCTTAATGCAATACTGATGTTTGGCAATAACATCTTACCTTACTAATAGCTTAATAGGATTTTTTCGTTCCTATACAATATTTGAAACTTATTTATCAAAAGTATTCTAATTTTATATATTACCCGTCCTAAACAAGGATTACTTACAAATTATATACATTCCACCTTAAAAGGATCATAATACACTATTAGTGTCTTCAATCAAGGGATTTAGTTACACCCTTTTCCTTTTGTCTCTCTTCTCTCCCCTCTTCTCTCCGGATCGAACTTATATTTAGAGATTTATGTTTGATAATTGTTTCAAAATACATTTGTCAAATCCATGAGATACTGCTGAAGTTGTCATCTTTCTTTTTTCGGGTCTTTTATTTTTTCTTTATTTTGCTGGTAGAATTAATAATGGAATAGGATTTCTGACGAGATTTATGTTGACTACTTGCCATAAAACCTTTTGTTTATTTTTGTGAAAGTCTCGGTCAAGTGGTAGCACAACAGATTAATATGGTTGAAAATGAAAGAACACATCTGAAGAAATGGACATCGACTAGCTAGAAAACTCGAAACTTGTGTTGAAGTTCTGTTCTAGAGCAAACATTGCGTTATGCTATAGCTAGTGTATTTTAAAGACTGAAATTTTCGGACAACCCGAAGAAGGTAATGTCTCCAAAAGCAGGCGACGAAAAACCACCATCGAATGTTGCAGCTGGAAAAAATTTAGTATCTCCTTGGACTTCAGAGAAGATAAAATCAAATGAGAAAAAAATAATAGATGGTACATCAACATACAAATTAAAAATAAATTTCGGACAAATTTAATGCAAATTTGAATATCTACAACAACATACATAGTAAAAATAAATTTCATACAACTAATTATATATTATACAACTTATTTACAATTTATCTACAACTTTCATACATTATTTCTACCCAATTAAATACAACTACATATCATACAACTTAAATATTTTATACAAATTTTATACAATATGTCTTTTGTATATATTTTGTATCTGATTTGTATATATTTTGTCTGTGGTGTGTGCTTCTTCCTATCTAAAATTCTAATTAAAACTTATTTTATTAATACAATTTTGATACAAATCAATAACTTTATTTTGATAAATGTGCATGAATTAGCCAAGTCGTCTCCTAACCAAAATCCAAACATATTGTAGTTATCATGCTATATCTAGGGAAATCTTTAATCAAAAGCTATATATAATTTATGGGAGAATGACATGCTTTGGTCAACCACACATCCATTGCTTTGGGGTGAAGGGATGTCTATATGACATACATGCATGAAATATAAAAGTATTCAAAATCTAAAATTTGAGAAAAGTGGGAGCAGAAACACCTGCTCTGTTGACCAAAAAGGATCTCAAGATTACTTTAATATGACCAAAGATTACTTAATCTCCCAAACATTATACAACCCTTCCATGTATTATATATACTATATATTTAAAGAGTTAATTTATTAGTAATATTTGAAAATTTCAAAGTAAGTTAATTGCTTGTTGACTAGCAAAAAGGTATACGGATTAATACTGTTTTGGACAGTGCTTATCCAACATACCTTAAGCTTGTAGTTTACAATTTTAAGACAACAAATATTAGTTCATGTAAGTAGTTGAGTTGTACTTGAATTAGTAACAATAATAGTATTCAAATATGCGCTCATGCTTTACAGAAGCAAAGAAATATTATGGCCTACAAATTGATAAGATTAGCGAATATTAGGTGAATCTGATTGGTCCAAAGTCCAAAAAATGACAAAAAAGATAAAGGAAAAAGAATAGGTTAGGAGAGCTGCTCCTCTGATTTGTCAAAGATGAACAAAATCGTCCTTAATGCCCAATTTACTCCGAAACTGTTCTTTACTAGAACAAGGACAACGTGTCTCCATTTTTTTGAAGACGATTATTTCTCCATTTTCTTATTATCAAGTTATTAACGAACTGTCCTTTTGCGGAATAATTGCAGTAAAGCTGGGCAATGGAAGAAGTTGTTCGAGCAGGTCCAGCAAATTTATGAATTTTATGCTCTGGAATGGGACAACATGCTATTTGTGTTGGAGTTGAGCTCAAGCTGACCTAATTTGTTGCTGATGCTGACGCACATCCTACATAATAGGCCCATTTGATGTATTTATAAATGATTCTCTATAGCCTCTCAAAATTTTAATAGCCCATATTTTTCTTCATTGACACGAAATGTCCCTCCGACCCAAACATATTACATCTAATAGCTTGAAATATCTATTTTGTATATTTTTCGTATAGTGAGAGTCTATTTTGTATATTTTTTGTATAATGACAGTATATTTTATAAATATTTTGTATAGTAACAGTCTATTGTATATAAATTGTATAGTGACAGTCTATTTAGTATATTTTTTGTATAGTGACACTCTATTTTGTATGTATTTTGTATAGTTTATATAAATTGTATAGTGACAGTCTATTTAGTATATTTTTTGTATAGTGACACTCTATTTTGTATGTATTTTGTATAGTTTATATAAATTGTATAGTGACAGTCTATTTAGTATATTTTTTGTATAGTGACACTCTATTTTGTATGTATTTTGTATAGTTTATATAAATTGTATAGTGACAATCTATTTTGTATATTGTTTGTATAGTGACAATCTATTTTTGTATATATTTTGTATAAGAGAATTAGGTAAGGTAAGATGAATTTTTTTATAAAATAAGAATGAAAGTGGCAGAATAAAAAAAATAGCCTGAAAAGAAGTGTTGAGAGTTTGTATTGTTGATTTTTACTACAATTTTTTTTTCTCTTTGGTGAATGATTTATTTTCCAGAAGAAGATACGAGAGCGAAGATTGGTAGAGCTGTAGTGAACGAGATAAATTGGAAGAAGAGGAAAGAATGCAAGAAAATTTTGGACTTTGGTGACTAGGGAGGACAGGGCGACACGAGAAATTTTATCATGTGTGAGACATGATACGTAATACTTGTGTGAGAATAATTTTCTTGTGTGAAAAAAAAAAAAAGATTGCTCGCGAAGTTGACGGAGTAGTGACAAATTTTTGTAGTGGAAGATGAAATTGTTTGAACATTGAAGTACAAGGAAGAAAGAAGGTGTTTAAATTTTTTTCAAAGAAGAAAGAAGGTTTATTTTTTTAAGAACGAAAGTAGGAGATTGCAAAAAGTTAGTAATAAAGTGACACCATAGGACCTACTTTCCCATTTATCAAAAATTAAGAGGAATCTAACACATAGACCCAACATAAAATTTTTCAGGCAACACAAATATGTTAGTTAATATATTTTATTTATTTTTGGCTACAAGTTGTAATAGGGAATTGTAGGCTATGCGATTGTTTATAGTTTTTGCCGAGTGGCTAACTTTGTCAAAAGTTCTATTTATTTGTATCAGCCCACTTGTAATAGTGAGGCCTATTTTTGTAATAGTAAGCTTAGTCAGATTCTTTTACTAGTTAGTTCATTCATTTGTGTATAGCCACTATATTGGATTCTTCTAGAAAAAAGAAAGAACCATTTTTTCTTTCTGGCAGAGTAATGAAAATATCTACTCCTCTCTTCTTTTATCTCTCTCGTTTATTCCTCAAACCCTAGCATAAACTCTTGATCAATTCTTGAAAATAAATTTTTCACATGGTATTAGAGCAGAGATTCTGTTCCTGCTTCTCACTACCTTCCTCACCTATTTTCATCCGAGAATTTGTGTTCGTTGAGAAGTTTGGGGCTTTCTGTTTTCGCTGAGTTTTCTTCTGCAATCGTTTCTTCGACGACTTCTTTCTACCAGAGTTTTATCGGATTGACGCGGAGATCAGTCGGTTGCTTCAATTTTTCCCTATCCAACAGTTAGGGTTTTCTTCATTCAAGTTCAAGGCCGTTCCCGTCTTTCGGTTGCAAAGACGACGGGTATTCTCATTATCTAGCTTAATTTTTTTATTGTTGGATATCTAGCGTTGTAGAGTTGAATAGTTCTTAATTGAGACTCTTGTATACGTTATTGTTGAGTCGTGGGCTATGCATTATTGTGATATTGGTATTGTTGTTTTGGCAATGTTGTGGCATATGGGCACGTGTGGTGCGAGATGATATGTTGTGTTGTGTTTTTGGCACATGTGGGCATGCTGAACGGATTGTCGGTGTGTTTGCACGAAGTTTCTATCGTGCTATTGATATTATTGATAGTGCACATGCAACAAGAAAAATGGTGTGTATATATATATATATATATATATATTATGAGGTGTGGTACCTCGGGTTTGCGCATATGGAGAGATAAGGTGGGATAATTGTTGATGCGCGTGTCGCGGGACAAGGCAGACATTTACTATATTGTTGCGCATGCGGCGAGGCAAGGGAGGTTATGTTAGGGATGATATGTGATGGTCCGGGGGCATGTTATTGATGATATTCGTATGGTGGTGTAACATCCTTGTGTGTGTCATACATATTACGTCATTTGTTGTGTTATTTTCAATGTGCTACTCAGTGTCTCTGATTTTACGTGTTGAATTGAGCTATGATAATAGACTTGCACATACATACACTGTAACATGTCATCATACCAGTTCAGGAGTATGAAACTTGATATTTATTGATCATGCACATGTATTCTTGTATATTTGCTTTTTCTGTGATATGGTTAGACTACTAGCCTGTGACCACGGCAAATTATGATATTGAGTGTGTGACAATGCTAAGCGGATTGTGATATTGAGCATGTGACCATGCCAGGCGGATTGCGATAGAGAGCCCGTGACCATGACAGGTGGATTGAGATATTGGCATGTGAATTGTTCGTGCAATACGTC